CCCAGAGGAGCGCGCGGTTCCGAAAAGCCCGCGCTGGCAGCGGCGCAAACCGGCTCTTTCCGCGCCAAAGTCACAAAGCCTGCCGTGGCGGGAAAATGACCGGCTTCTCCACGGTCCCCCAAGTCACTTTAGGGCTCTTTGCTCATTAAACTCCAGAAGTGATGGAGAGGAAACCTTAGTTCTAGTTGACTTCAACCACCTTATATTGTGCAGTAGTGAGAATTGTCATTCTGTCATCTTTAAGTGGGGACAATAGGTGTTCGGGGTCTCAGCTATTCTTACAGATCCTGAATTTGCAGGAAAATTTACCCACGACAGGGGCTTTAACTTCCTGGTCACTACCTATCCAGTCCACGTGTATATTTTTTAAAACTTCTGAAAAACACAGTATTTACCCACCATACATGCAGTGTGTTTTAATACGTTTTTTTTGTTTTGTTTTGTTTTTTGAGACAGGTTCTCACTGTGTAGTTGAGACTGACCTGGAACTCACTGTGTAGCCCAGGCTGGTCTCAACTCACAGCGTTCCTCCTACCTCAGGCTCAGGCTCCCGAGTGCTGGGATTACAGGCGTGAGCCACCACACCCGGCGTGTTTTAATACGTTTATTATATTACCTTTAAGTCTCATTGAAGTGTAATTTACTTTGCCCACAGAAGGGCATTGCAATTCAGAAAATACTCTTTTAGGGCCAGGGATTGAGTTCAGTGGTTCCACTACCTGCCTCACAAGTGCAAGGTCCTGAGTTCCAACCACAGTAACAAAAAAGAAAGAAACAAAAGAAGGAAATACTCTTTCATTCGTCCACAAAGATGTAACGTGATGGAAGGGTGCCAGGTTGCATTCAAAATGGCTGCATCCGTATTCACTTCTTCCAATGGTGTTTTACTCTGCGTCCTCACCAGTTCCTTCCACAGCCTAATGTGTGCAAATGCTAACTCGTTGCTTTGGAAATCTAGATGTTAGGCAGGTAATGTTGATTTTTTAAACTCTGTATCTTCTGTGTTTCAGTATGTCCAAAATATTAAAATGCGCTGGCAATGAAGACATTATTACCCTAAGAGCCGAAGATAATGCAGACACCCTGGCACTAGTATTTGAAGCACCAAGTAAGTTGCATCCTTTTACTGCATTACAGTGTATGGTTATAAAGTGCAGTGTTAGTTGGAGGCAATGCAGAGACTTGATGATACCCTGTCACAAATTTTTATTTATTTATGACACAAGGTCTCTCACTATGTTGTCTAAGTTGGCAGTCCTCCTGCCTTAGCCTCCAAGTGTTGGGATTACAGATAAGAGCCACCATGTCCAGCAAAATTTGTACTTTAAAAGGGCTGAGTATAAACTTCCATGCAAAGGCCCTGGGTTCAATCCCCCAGAACTCCCCTCGCCCCAAACAAAAACAAAAGGCTGTGTATTTAATTTCTCAAAGGTGTGAGAATTTGAAGATAATGTTTGTGTGTTTATGATGATTGTAAAATTTACATCATTATTATGAACACATGCCTTTAATAACATTTGCTTTCATTGGTAGATCAGGAGAAAGTATCCGACTATGAAATGAAGTTAATGGATTTAGATGTTGAACAACTTGGAATTCCAGTGAGTATATTTCTAATTATAGTGTGCTGTACACAGTCGTGATAATTCTATAACAGTTCAAACTATCAACACAGGAGTTTTAAGGACATTTAATCACATCTTGTTTGTATTAGCATTTTCCAAAAAATTGGATACTTTGCCATTGATTAGTCACACACTTGGCAGGTATACTTGTAGAAAAAGTTCTGTTAGGAAGTAGGCTTTAATTCGTATTACTAGATCTTAAATATGGTGCATGTTCCAGAGTCACCAAGTTGCCCAGGCTGAAATGATGGATTTGTCGTTTTTCTAAACCACGATAGTTTAAATTTTTTGTTTATTAATTTTATGTATGTATTTATTTATTTATTTTTAGTACCTGGGATCGCCCTTGTGCTTGCAAGGCAGGCAGTGGAACCACTGAGCTAAATCCACAGCCCTGAAATTTTTAAGTTCATTATTACTTGAATTCATTGTGTTGCTGGGTAGTGACTCGCATTATTCATCCATGCATTTCTTTTCTTCCTAAAATGCTTGCTTTTTGTTAGATTTTAAGCATGTCTTAGAAACTTATTAAAGACTGGTTTGTTCACATAAAAAGGAAAGAATTAATGGGATATTTACAATGCTTAGTGCTTTGTTTTCTTTGAGAAAGCAAATACATCTGCTTGCACCATCATTTGTCACACTCTAATGTTCTCTAGATTTAGCTGCAAGGTTATGAGGACGACTTTGTTTTGTCCCCTGGAATGTGTTAACTGTTGACTTTGGTTTTGTAGGAACAAGAATACAGTTGTGTGGTAAAGATGCCTTCTGGTGAGTTTGCACGTATATGCCGAGACCTCAGTCACATTGGAGATGCGGTTGTAATATCATGTGCAAAAGATGGAGTGAAATTTTCTGCAAGTGGAGAACTTGGAAATGGAAACATTAAGTTGTCACAAACCAGTAATGTTGACAAAGAGGAGGAAGCTGTAAGCAGTAAAATTAAATTTTTAATTTCTATTTAAATGAATAGAAATGACTTTGAAGATGATTATACAACTGTTTAATACTAAGATGCTTGCTTAAAACCATCCATTGTAACAGTGAATTGCATTCTATGTAATTTGTGAAAACTGAAAGATGCTGTTGAAATCTACAAGCAATTTATAAACCTCAGAACAGTGGACTTGTGTGTTAAACCCACACACACTCTGAAGATAGGATTGTCTTAATTTTTAACTTTCTGGAGATACTTCCTCTGCTTTTGCCAAATGAGTGAGAGCAGGAGAACAACTCAAATGAAGGGTAATGGGTAGGCCTAAAACTCTAGCTCTTACAGACTTGTGTATAGTCTTTTAGTTGAAGAAAGAAAGTTACTGTCAAATTTTCCAGTCTGGATTTTGCTATTGCATATGGATGTTAATTAACATCTGCCTTGTATGTCCTGTAAACTGGTCTAGAGGTTTGATATTCTGGGTGTTTTTCTTTGGGGGCTTGGACAGCAAGAGATGGGCAGTGGTGTGTTGTGTACCCCTTATACGTACAAGGAGTATGGATGTTTTTAGTTGTCATAATAGTCTCCTAGATCCTTTAAATCATTGGGGTTTGCAAAGTTGAAATATTTTAGTTTATTTCATTCCTTCATCTAGTAGCTGACTTACGGTAATTAGAAGTATTTTCATAAAGAAAAGTTTCCCATATTGTGTGTTTTTGTTTGTTGATATAGGAAAGAAAAACAGGTTAAATGCTACTTTGGCTTTATATGTCTTCAAAAATTGGTTTCATTACATCCTCCAAAGTAGCTAGTACATTTTATTTAATGTATATTAACTAATGGATTGGAACTTTGTTTTCAAATGCAATCAATCTCTTTCTCCTGTAGGTTACCATAGAGATGAATGAGCCTGTTCAGCTCACTTTTGCACTGAGGTACCTGAACTTCTTTACAAAAGCCACTCCACTCTCTCCTACAGTAACACTCAGTATGTCTGCAGATGTACCCCTTGGTAAGATAATAGATTTAAACTTTGTTTTGTGGCCACATATGGGATGCTCCTCAGTAACTCACTTTTCTTGTCTTTCAGTTGTAGAGTATAAAATTGCTGACATGGGACATTTAAAGTACTATTTGGCTCCCAAGATCGAGGATGAAGAAGGATCTTAGGCATTCTTAAAATCCAAGAAAATAAAACAGCTCTTTTGAGAACAGCTTCCGAAATGCCAGCATGTACTGAAGTCTTTTCTGTCACCAAATTTGTACCTGAGTACATATGTAGATAATGTTTTCTGTAAATAACCTATTTTCCTGTATTCTCTCCTAGAAATACTGCTTTAAATACTCCTGGTGATTTTTTTTAATAACAAAAGGCTTGACTATTTTTCAATTTAAATAAAGTTATTTGAATTTCAAATGTCACCGGACAGCCTTCATTTTGCAAGTCAATAACTGCTACTGGGATGCCACATGTTAAGTTGGTTTACAGTTAGTCGTATTCATTTTTTTGGTATCAGGAATCAACTTGGGTCCTCGCACTTGAAAGACAAGCGGAGGAACCACTGAGCTAAATCCCCGGCCCTTACAATCCTTTTTTCCAACGTATTTTGTGTTTGGTGTATTCAGTGATTGGTGTCTTGTTATACCTGGACAGACAGTTTATCAGATGGTTGTACAACCCTATATCCAGCAGTTAGTACTACTGCCTGCCAGTGAGCCCCAGAGAAAGGGCTGGACTGCAGCGTTGGTGTATAAATAGTACCTTAATGAACGACCTTTCAAAAAGCTTCACATGCTGAAAAATGCCCCTTCTGGGCAGGTAAACCAGGGCAATGCCTGGTAACCTGGTGAGGGACCCTTAAAGTTGTTTAAGGCCCATCTCCGTGTAAGGCTGGGTACTTCGAGCAGTGGGATGCGATATGGTAGCTCTCGCCCCAATTTCCACCTCCGGAGAATCTGGCTACCATAACCCTGAGGGCACTTTGTAAGAATTTTGATGTAGGTTTGCCCGGTGTCTAACTATGACCCAGGAGGGCGGGGATCCTGGATAACCACACGCCTGCCCCAGTGTAGGCCAGTGGCTTGCGAGGTCACCCAAAACCTTATGGGGATGCTCCCCGAACACTAAGTGCAGACCCACTGGAAGGATAGCCCCAGACATGACCTGCAGGCGGTGAGTGACGTCACTCCCGGTGACGCCACTTCCGGAGCGCCCTCATTCGATCCGCCACTTCCGGCGCGCTCGCGGTTGTTGTGGAACCCGCTGGCATTTAGGCGGGCGGTGCTATGTGGTTTCTGTCTGCTCCGCAATTCTCGGTAGCTGAGCTCCCTACAAGCGGACGGCGCGGCTTGGAGCTCTGGTGAGCCGTGTGAGCGGCGGGCGGGACAGGCGCGCCTTCCTCGAGCCTGCGCTCCCGGGACGACGACCCCGCGGCCTCCGGGTGCAGCCGGTGCGCGCTTGGCCTCACCAGAACCGGTTTTGTTCGTTTTACGCCTGAATTCGCGTCAGTTCTTATTTCTCTCTGTGGCGACGTCTGGAGGCTATCAGGAAAATAGCGTATGTAGAGGCGCGTTATGCGAGGCTCAGTGCCAGTCACTTACTGACCTTTTATAAATGTAACATTTAGGTGCTGAGGGAATTGGAGTTGCATGGGGCTTTTGAAAAGCCGGTTGGAAACTTGGACTGATTCTTTAAAGATACTCTTGCGTGTCCTTCCTTTTCCGTTTTAGAATTCTTTCTCTTTGCCAGGTATAAGCATACAACTTCCCACTCCCTTGCTCCCTAGGATTTTTGTTGTTGTTGTTTTGGCAAGAGTGTGTGAATTAATGGCAAAGTACGTACATAATTTTTTTTGAAAACGCCAGTACGAATCAGGTGTGCCGTCAAAACTACCATGTATCGGTAGTTTGAACTTTGTTACAGAATTGAATTGTGTCATTGCATCACAACCCTAAAAACCGAGCACTTAACACAGCTGACCAAACCTTTAAAGCAGTATTATTATTTCAGTGTTCAATAGCTGGACCAGTACATAATAAAAAGTAACACAAACATTTAACACCAGTTCTTTCACGACGCAACTTGAGCTGTGCGGTTTATTTTGGTTGTTAAATATTTATAAAGCACTTAGAATAGTGCTTTTATAAAGCACTTAGAATAGTACCTGGCACCTAACCAAGGCTTTGTTTTATTCACATAACTCTGTGCCTTTTTGGAAGAAATGTGTACAAATTTCAAATTTTTGAAATGTAAGTCTCATTGTTTTAAAACCGTACATACTGTCAAACCTGCCATGATTTTATTGCTGCTTTGAATATTCTAAACAATGTTTAGAATTGGTTTTTTCTTTTGGGGAACATTGGGGATCAGACCCAGGGCTTTAAGTTTAATGCTAAGCAAGTACTGTACCACTGGACTACACCTGGAGCCCAATAAATCAGGTTTTTATTCAACTTTTTTAGGTACCTGCACAATCTGGAAAATGGAACTCAGTGTTTTCATAACAGGATGAGCTAGGGAGGTAGACATGTGAGCATGTGTGCTTAACCACTGAGCTACCCTCCAGCCCCGGCACCTGAAGATAGACATATCTGAATACACTAGTGTAGTACTGATAGCCAGTAGATGATCCACATTTAGAAGCTTTACAAATCCTTTGCATTAAAAGGTAGATATCAAGGGAAAAGAAGCAAAATGCTAATGTGAGTGTATGCTGTTCCCTACCTTTTCTTCCCTCCCTGGCAAACAAGAAAATCTCTTGAATATATGTTCCTAAGCTAGAGCAGGGGACAGGCCATACTATATCAGAGTGACCAAAAAATGTGGACTTCAATGTCAGGTGCACCTGAATTTAAGTCCCCACTCTTCCACCTACTTCATGTGTGACTTTGGGGAAATTAGCAGGCAGAACATTGGTGGTAGGGTAAACTGTGGTCTGGTTCTTGGTGACTGTCCTGGCTGTCACCCAAACTGAACAGACCAGAGTAGGTACATAGGTCATAGTTTAACTGTCAGGAATATCAGGTTTTTAAGAGCAGTGAGGTCTAAATTGCCAGGTGAGCGTGGTGGTCCAGAACTCCATTACATGGTAAATGAAGTCATTGGCTGTAATGTACTACTGTCAGCTACAGACAATAACAGCTTTTTGTTTTAGACTGAGGCTGGCTGTATCAGTGTGTTATGATGCCATCTCGTACCAACCTGGCTACTGGAATCCCCAGTAGTAAAGTAAAATACTCAAGGCTCTCCAGCACAGATGATGGCTACATTGACCTTCAGGTAAGAAGGGAACTGACTGGCTGGCTTTGTTTCTGTTCAGCTAGGAAGAAGAGCTTCTAGATGGAGGTTTTGCTAATGGGCCCTTGGAATTAGAGGGAGCAACAGGGAATAAACTCATCTTTGAGACTCTTTGGCCCTAACTTGCAGAAGGGGACTGTGGCACAGCAGTTTCAAACCAATTCCAGTTTATAAAAATTTTTAGTTGTAATGCCAGAGTCCTGTAGCTTCAAATTTATCCATAAAATAAACAGACTTTGTTTTAAGTGAAATTATTTTAAAGACTGCATTTATTTACACTTTAGTTAAAGTCAGTTCATCTTTTAAAGGAGAAACTAATTGCTGAAGCCAGCAGATAGTGGAAATCTTTCTTCTTTCTGATGTCATGAGGTCCATTTTATTAAAGGTATTCTTTGTGACAAACACTAAATAATAAGGAATATTGGCTGGGGATTTAGCTCAGTAGCACAGTGCTTGCCTGGCAAGCTCAAGGTCCTACGTTCGATCCCTGGTACCAAAAAAAAAGAATATTAAGTTTGTATCTTATCTTGGCTATTATCTATAAAGTACTGTAATACTATAGCATTTCCTTTTACCCATCCCCCCTTAAAAAAGAATATTCTAGCTGCTAAGACTTGAGCCAACGATGAAGTAGAAGAAATTTATCCTTTTTTTTGAGACAGGGTCTCACTATGTAGTTGAGACTGACCTAGAACTCACTTTGTAGCCCAGGCTGGTCTCAAACTCACAGCAATCCTCCTGCCTCAGCCTCCTGAGTGCTGGGATTACAGGCGTGCACCACCATGCCCAACTCAAAACTTATCCTTTTAAATAGAAATAAATCAGTTCTTTGTACTCTTTGGACCTGTATTTGAAGGAGAGATAAAAATAGATCTGGGAAGTTTCCATCCAATTAGATCAGACTCAACCATGAGCTTAACCGTAGAAAGTTTGTTTTTTAACCTTGAATTGAACTTGTTCATAAGACAGTGCTTTAGAAAAAGCTGCAATTATCCCCCCTCCCCTGTTACTGGGACTTGAACTCAGGACCTTCCACTTGCCAGGCAGGTGCAGCACCGCTGAGCTACACCCCCCACCCTGCAATTGTGTTTTTAAAACCATTGACAATGTGCTTACTTTCAATCCTAGAAATGACTTCGCTTCTTTACTTTTCCGTAGCATGGTGCTTGTTCACTCTAAAGTCTCCATAGGTCAGTACACCCTTCCATGTGCCAGACATTTACTAAATACATGTAATGAACAAGTGACCATAAAATAGTGACTTATTAGAGTGCAAGGAAGGTTCTGTAGAATGCTAAACCTGAACAGAATGGCAGCCCTCGAGGACTCTTTGGAGTGATGCTAGAGCATAGCTAGAGCTTCATCTATTGTCTATCCCCTTCCTTTTTCTCCTGGAGCTGCATTGGGTGATAAGACATACATACTTTAAAACACTTGAAGCATCCAGTTTGATTCTTAATTATCCTTCCTGCTTTAAAGTGTTCTATCCCTACCGTCTTCATGATGTTCTTTTTTTATCTTCTTTTGTTTTTGTTTCTCTTCCAGTTTAAGAAAAGCCCTCCTAAGATCCCCTACAAGGCCATCGCACTTGCCACTGTGCTGTTTTTGATAGGTGCTTTTCTTATTATCATAGGCTCCCTCCTGTTGTCCGGCTACATCAGCAAAGGGGTAAGCTGATGGCAGTGTGCCATAAAACCTTTAAAATGTGAGCTAGGGCTTATCATTTTTATATTCTATCTAGTACAACAGATGCCAGCTGAAAGAAGAAAAAATATTTCTTTTATATTTTGTTTTCTGATAAAACATGCTTTTATAGCTGGGCACTGTGGCCCACGCCTGTAATCTCAGCAGACTGGGAGGCTGAGACAGGAGGCTTACAGAGTTGAATCAAGCCAAAGCAACTTAGCAAGACCCTGCCTCAAAATAAAAAATTAAGCCAGGAATCATGTATATGCCTGTAATCCCAGCACTGATTACAAGATGCTGAGACAGGAGTATCACCACAAGTTTGAGGCCAGCCTGAACTACATAGCAAGACCCTGTCTCAGCAAACAAAACTTAAACAAGATTTGTATGTAGGTCAGTGCACGGACCCTGGGTTCAATCCCCAGATTTGCAAAAGCAACACAAAAAACAATAAATTTTTCCCTTCATTTCTCTGAAGTGGATGTTGTTAGGTAGGCAGATTTGACCTCTGAGCTATTTAGCGGTTTGTCCACATCCACAGTTTGGAATACCATAGCTGAGCCTGACATCCAGGATTCCTGATCTGTAAGAGATTGTAGCCTGAGTAACATGCTGTTGTCACAGCTGCATAGGTCAGTTTGGGGAGAAAGCACGAGGCTTGAATAGACTGCTATTTGGTTGCAGCGCCTCTTGAGGGACAATATAACAGAAGGTGGTGTTTGGTGGTTCTTTCTCTTGGGCTGTCCCCATATGTACATGGTGTCTAAGTTGTCTTGAACTTACTCTGATACAAACGAAGACAGAGAAGTTTATTGTGGTTTTCTGTACAGTTACAGAAAGAGAAAAAGAACCAGTGTCAGACAGCTGTGTAGGCACTGGAATAAATCGTACATCAATTTCAGTGGAATATTACCATATGGTTCAAACCTAGGAAGAGTTTTTGTTTTTGTTTTTCCATTAAGTTTATTGGTATATTTTAGGTATACAATACAGTTACATACATCATTGGGAATGAAGAATTTGTAATACTGGCAAGTGCTTGTTATAAAGAGCCTTATGGGACACAGTGTAATGTTTTCACAACTAAGAACTTTGAAAAAGGAGTATAAGGAAATAAGCCAATCTCATTTGAATAAAGAATGAATAATGTCTTTATAGTTTTTAGTGCTTTACAGTTTTCTGTCAGTTTGTAATCAGAAAGGAATTGTAAACATTTCCATTGGTACTGTACTACCCACAGAAGATATTCAGAAAATTATAAAATAATGATCTATAGATGAGGTCTGTGGCATATTTTAAAATATGTAACTTTGGTGGTACTACTGTAATGTTTTCTTTCTTCTGCCACCAGGGGGCAGACCGGGCCGTTCCCGTCCTGATCATTGGCATTCTGGTGTTCCTGCCAGGATTTTACCACCTGCGCATTGCCTACTACGCATCCAAAGGCTACCGGGGTTACTCCTATGATGACATTCCGGATTTTGATGACTAGCACATCAGCCCAAGAAGAGTCACAGTGGAACAACACCCAGCTTTACAATATTGAACAGAAACCATGCTTAAGGGCTGAGGAATTTTGCAGTTAGTAGAAGTTTAACAAATCAGTGGTCAGATTTTATGGGTCCATCCCAAAAATGTTCACTGAGCTTACAATTAGCTAATTAATACATGCTGTTTTCATTTCCTGGCCCTGGCAAAAGCTCCAGTTTTTCCACTTGAATAGGTGCCATGGAAGAATAGCATTGTTAATTATCTTAAAAAGCAGGAAGTCATTCTGTAGTGGAAAGTGATTCTACTACTACTACTGTCTTTAAAGTTGAGAATTTCTTTGAAATAGTCCTCATTGTCAGTTTGTCATAGCAAATGGAAGTATGCAATATGCCTCATTTCCTTCCTAAGTAATTTATTTTTAATCTAAGTACCCTCAAACATATCTCTGCACTGTCATGTTCTGTGGAAGACCTGGGTAAAATCAGATATCAGTGTGGGTCCTTCTGTAATATTTTTTTACTAGCTTTGTTACTGATAGCAACCAGGAATTTTTTCACTGTAGAGTGAATTTTCCAAATACAATTTCTCTTGACAACCAGTCTTTGGCCAGCTCTGACCTAGTTTCTCAATAGGGTTGCCAGCAAATTATTTGAGTCATTTTGTCTCTTGTAGATGAAGATGTTCTGTATGTCACGCCTTGAAGGACCGGACTTTTGACTTTTCCTAATGAAAAATGTGGATAAGTTATTCAAGGTTTATAACTTTATTGCTAACACCTGGGACTGCAGTAGCTTTCTGATAAAAATTGAAAGACTTGGCTTTGCTCTCTGGAGGACTAGATTGCTTTAGGTTGATTCTGTTTCCTTGCTTGCAAAAAGGACATATACTTAAAAGAAATTAAACGGTCAAAATCCAAATCCTAGACTTAAAATGAGTTCACATTAAGCATATTTCAGAAAACTGTAATGATTTTATGATGTTTGATCCCACAACCCAGGACTGCCTTTGTTTTTAGGTAACTGCAATTATAAGTTACACTCTACTTTTCAAATTCTTTTGTTTGTTTGTTTAAAACAAAACCTTGCTGTATACTTTAGGCTGGCCTAGAACTCAATGTGTAGCCCAGACTGGCCTCAGATTGCAGCAATCCTCCTGCCTCAGTCTCTTGTGTGCTAAGATTATAGGTAGGCACCTTGTTTTCCTGTCAAACTACCAGAGGTTATAGGCTTGGGCAAGTAGATATTTGGCTGTAGTGTTGAGATTTGGAGAGCTTTGAATAGGGCAAGGCTTTGAATAGGGCAAGTTTTGGGGGGAAATTAGTTCACTTTTGGGTGTTAAATTGTAGGTGTCCAAGGGGAGCTGTGAAGGAGGAGTTGTGCAGTGTGCTGCAGTTCAGGAGGCTGGAGCCTGGACATAGAAATGTGGGTATATTTATACAGCCTTTTTTGAGCTGTGGCACCAGAGGAGATCTTTAGTGGAGTGAGGTATATGGAGAAGAGGACTCAGGAAACAAGGGACAGGAACTACCCTGAAGCACCTTCCAAGTTTGATGCATTTGGTAATGGGAGGGGGGCCTGGGGACCCCAGTTCTCTAAAGTTCTTGGACTCTTAACAATAAATAATTTTAAGGGCTGGGGATTTAGCTCACTGGCAGTGCACCTGCCTTGCAAGTGCAAGGTCCTGAGTTCAATCCCCAGTACCAAAAAAAAAAAAAAAAAAGAAAAAAATAGAAAACTGAGCCTGGGGTAGTGGCACATGTCTGCAATCCTAGCACTTGGAAGACTTAAGGCAGGAAGCTCATGAGTTGGAGGCCAGCCTGGGCAACTTAGCAAGTTCAAGGTCACCCTGAGCTACATAGTGAGACCCTGTCTCAAAAAAAAGGCTGTGCTATTCTTCCAAAGCACAGCTCAGACAAAGTAGTTTCAGCCAAATCAGATGATTTGGTAAGGAAAAATAAAAAAGAAGAGCATATTAAGTATAAAACTTTTGGTGAAGGGGAGATTTGTTCCCCCAGCTCACTTTTCAGGGTTGGCCAGTAAAATTCTTCAACTTTCCAGAAATGTAAGTGTATAAACACATGTAGTCATTTTTTTAACACAGTTTTTGTTTGTTTTGAGACAGGGTCTTGCTATGTAACTCAGGCGTGCACCACCACACCCTGCAATATATATCTCTTTCTTTAAAAAAACCTTAGGCTCCATTGTGATGTTTTATAATTTTTTCCCCATTTTTTATAGCTTTACACATTCAGAGAGATCAGAGGCCACATTTTTAAAATTTCAGTGCTGGGGACTGTTGACCTCTGGAGGTCTTATCTCATCAGATTGGCAGTAGAAGAATTAATTTCTCTGTGCAGAGATTAGGACTTTGCAATCTTTGTACAACAAAGGAGGCAGGCACAGAGTCTAAGCCACATCTGCTATTGTCAGATTGGACATGAATTTACAAAGTCGTGGGTCACTGGAGAGTGGGAACAAAATATGTCAATTAAAACAACTTAAAAATTAACCAAAAAAAGTAGACCACAGAACTTTGAAAGCAGCCCTATCTTAATATAATTAGTTCCTCCACATGTCTTAACTTTTTCAGCCATAACTTTAGCTTGGTTTCTATCTCCAGACATTTTACATATTCACCTTGAACCCTACCTTTAAAAACTTTCTATGAAGCCAGACATGGTGGCACTCGCCTATAATCCCAGCACTCGGGAGGCTGAGGCAGGAGGATCGCTGTGAATTTGAGACCAACCTGGGCTACATAGTGAGTTCCAGGTCAGTCTCAACTACATAGTGAGACCCTGTCTCAAACCACCCCCCCAAAAAAAAACTCCATGAAAAAATTTTCAAGCGCCCACTACAGAAATAGCCCTTTACTAGGCATCAAAAATAAATTGTCCACATTGTCCATCCACCAGAAGTCTCCACCTTGCTTAAGTAGGGAATATGATCCATAATTGAACTGGCCAAACAAATAAAATCAGTAATATCAATAAATATGTACTTTAAAAGTCGTTGCTTCAGTAAGTGAATTCGAAAGGAAGTGAGGACCAACGGTTTGAAATGATCTTGCTGAGACAGGCCTTGAACTAGACCACAGCAGGCAGGGGAGGGGACCTAATGAGCCAGGCTGATAATGGTGCTGATTTGGAGTCTGAAGTCTGGTCGTGGGCAGAGTGGGGGGGCTGAGGTTAACTAAGAGGCACAGGATATGAGTTATGAGCTGCAGGAAATGAGGAACAGTAGTTTTTAAATTTTGTTTTACTTCTCAAATTATTACTATTGCACATATATTTTTAATCCTGCAAGGCTTCTCCTGAGAATTAGTCATCTGCACCCCTTTCTCCCTCCCTGTCCCAGAAACACCTTGCTCTTCCCGATGAATCTGAGTATTTGATCTCCACAGGAAATACATCACCACTTCAGGATTTTTCAGAGTTGGCCTTTCAGTCTCTCTTACTCATTTAGCTCTGTTCCCTGATGGTCCTCTGTCAGGGACACATTTTAGTCCCTCTCTTTTGTTCATGTAGCTTGTTTCAGTTGGGTCATTGTCAATGCTTACACTGCTAAGGATCCGTACATCTTCACAGCTAAGCCAGGATGGACATTAGGACTTACTTTTCTCACACAACCTTTAGTTTTCCCCAGAGTTAACAATCTGTTTGCATCATTTACTACACATACATTCCTAGTTAAGCCCAGACTGACTGCCTGTTGTGTAAATCTGCAAATGCCCTGCCTGTCTCGTTCTAAAAAACTTTCCAGGCCAGGGCTTTAGCTCAGTGGTTCTGCCGCCTGCCTCACAAGCATAAGGTCCTGAGTTTGATCCCCGGTACCAAAAGAAAAAAGATTACTAAAGAACTTTCCTCAGGGAGCTGCCCCTGCACCTACAGGGAGAATGACTGCAGCATCTTTGGGCTTCCTGTGTGACATCTCTCTGCCACTTGCAGTCAGTCTGGAAACTCGTGTCCTTTGTTATGAGAATATTCTAAAATAGAATTATTCAATCAATCACTTTTTTTACTCAGGTCTCTATTTCCTGTTTCTGAAATTGTGTAATTGCTAGCCCTTTTTGCTCCTTTTTCAATATTTTGCTCTTTATGGAAACTTTTGTTTTTCCTTTAACTTGTATCTTTTTCTAATGTTTTTTATGTCTCATAGGAATCGGGTTTTATTTCTTGGCTGAAACATCTTTTATTATATCACTAAATTCTCTTTATCAAAATAAAACCTTTTCTTATTAGCACAGCAGTCAAGTGATCACTTTTGAGATATGTCATGTTACTCAGTCCCACCACTGTCCCTGACACCTGACTCAAAATTCAAGCCTTCATCTCTGCAGGGGTCCAGAGGACCACTGTGCCTTCTCCATCCTCACCTCTCTGGTGTCCTATGAGTTCCTCCAGCCACGCCAACCTGCTTGTGGTCCCTGACCTAGCTGAGGTCCCAAGAATCTCCCACTCCACAGTTTTGCTCAAATCCCGTCTTCTCAGTAAGGCATGCCCTGCCTGCTGCTCACACTGCACCCTGCCCACATCTGTCTCCTGTTCCCAGCATCAGCTCTGTCTCCTGTCTCATGACTTCCATACAGACTGGCACTTGGGAGCACACTCCTTAACTTACTTCCATGTCTATCTCTCGCTCCAGTCAGAATATGAACTTACAAGGGCAGATGTCTGCCTATCTCCCTCCCTTCCCTCCTTCCATCTACTGGAATATAATTGATAAATAGAAATCATGCTTATTTTTTACTTTTTTTTTGTACCAGGGATCGAACTCAAGTCCTTGGAGCTTGCAAGGCAGGTGCCAGAACCACTGAGCTAAATCCCCAGCCGTTTTTTGTTTTATTCTTCATACCGGGGATTGAACTTGGGTCCTTATGCTTGCAAAGCAGGCAGCAGAACCACTGAGCTAAATCCCCAGCAACCCAGCCTATTTTTTACTTTTAAAATGTTTTCTTTCTGTATTTTTTAACTTTTTTGTATATATTTCAATTTTACAACTTTTGATATGATTTCTTATTTGGAATTTTTTAGATAACTGATATCCCAAGCAGTTAACCATGCTTGGGACATACGGCACCTAATAGTAACCTTTGAGAAAGGATGAGTGAATGATCCTTTCTGGGAATGTTTGGGGTTTGGGGAGGGAGGTGGGTATTGGGAATGGAACCCAGGATCTTGCACTTGTTGGGCAAGTGCTCCACCACTGAGCCATCCTGCCAGCCCTAATTTGTAATGTTCCTATCTACTGTCATGTCTCTCTTTTCTCTGTGTTGTACTTTGTTTTTCTGCTTCAGTCTCTTTTAGGTGATCCTTGGCCATGAGGTCATTGTAAACGGTGAGGATAGCCGGGTACGATGGTGCACATCTGTAGTCCCAGCATTCGGAAGGCTGAAGCAGGAGGATCGCCATGAGTTCAAGGCCAGCCTGGGCTACATAGCAAGACCCTGTTTCAGAAAAAACAAGAACAACAGGACACCAAACCTAGCAGAGCAGTCTGGGTTGTAGCTCAGTGGTAAAGTGCTTGGTGGTGTGTGTACACAAGTCCCTGGGCTCCATCCCGCACAGGTTGGGGGTGTGGGGGTGTCAGTTGTAGATGGGGAATGGATGGAGATCTGTGTCTGTGGAAGGGACTCCTGGACCATGAGACAATCTGCATTCACTGGGGAGCCCACAGCCAGTAGCTCCAGAGCCCTGATGGCGAACTTTTCAGAGACAAGTGCCAGACTGACCCACTTACTTATCACACAGTGCCAGCACCGCAGTTAAACCTGAATACTGAGGTTTTAGTTCATAGAAAACAACTTTACGTTAACATCTTTTGTCTTAAAGGAAAAACACCATAACATGTGCCATAAGTTTGCCACACTGCTCTAGGTCTTTATCTGAGGCTGGCCTGTCCCAGACAGCACTGGCCAT